AGTTCTGTCAATAGATGAAGAACGAGCAAATGAAATGATCCCGCCGTGTTCGATCTAGATTTACTCGTTCCGTTAATGTTCCAACTTACTCTAAATACTGCGAGGATAATGCGTGTTACTTTCTCCTTCACGGAATCGCTCAATATGTCGGCAAGAATGGGGATAACGTTGAATCTATAACGCAGTACGTATTGTTATGAATGATTGCAGTTACAGTCGGTAGTACTTTTGATGCAAAGAGATGTACTACACACTTGTTCATCTTCTCTGCCAACAGCGGGTTGAAAGTGAGCACCCACAGGCAGAAAATGAGCTGATATTGCACTTGAAAATTCACCCTTCCGGACAGGACGCTGAGGAGAGTTGAGATCCCGTCGACGGATACGAAAGAGAAGCGATACTCATCGATACGGAGCATCATTTGCAGACATCGCGCCACCGACTGGATGTAATCGTTGTTCTACACAGGAGAGTAACGTATATTCTATGCATTCTTCGGGATGAAAGACTACGGATGTCTCTTTAATTTAAGGGACGGACGACGTAGGTTGCTGCATGCAGAAATACGATGGCGAGGCAATTCGATATCTTCCAAGAAAAAGGAACAAAAACAGAAAGAGAGAAAAAGATCATTGAAAAATGGGGGAAAAAAATACCATGCAAATCAGCGAACTTATAAGAATTCATGCGTATGTNGGGGGGGGGGGGGGGATGACAGGGGCCAAGAAAATTCTCTCCCGTATTTTTGGGAGGTTCTCGCATCGGACGTAACGTTCACATGACATATGCTCTCGCAAACATGGAAGTCGTGTACGCATACCCCGTGATTGGAAATTGACATTGAAGTCGATTGCCAGTCCTAAACCGCAAGGGACTCGCGATACTTTTCGCGTGCGAGAATACCGTTAAACTCGTCCCGACGAGTTTACGAGATTAGTGCTTTCGTTCGCTCGTGCGGCGGCGGAGTAAATCTGAGAGTATCTCATAAATTGTTTAGATTTTAATGTGTAATATTACTGTGATTAGCTGTTACAAAACCAACCGGGTTGAGTAATTCGTGCAGCATGTCAGCGGCCTCCTTGGCCTGCTCCGCAGCAGTGTCTTGTTCAAGTCCCGCATGCAAGCCTGTTTCCTGCAGGGCATCAAACTAAAACCCCATCTCTTATTCTTTTTCGCTCGTCTACACAAATTTTACTGTAATTCGAAGATGTGTATCTCGTGTATCTGAAGCTTAACTGCACGAAGCGACAAATTTTCTACGTGGAGAGTCAGTCGCAGGACGATTTATTCGGTTTTACTTAGTTAGTTGTGGAATCTGAGTCAGTCAGTCATGGCTGCCTCACACACTTTAAAATGCACCACGTGGACTTGACGATCAAAATTAGGAGAATTAGACATGCTCACGTTGTAATTACAAACGTTGTTGTTAAATGGGAAATGTCATATGTATGTTTAGAATTATATTAATCGATGATTACATATTACTATTAGTATTTTAAACAGGTATTAACATTTTAGACAAGGTTGTTCTTTTCGATTAGGATTGAATTTGTTGATGTAGTTCGTTAACTGTTCGTCATGGCAAGGATGAATGATTATCTTGTGGAGATGTCGGACGAGTGTGAAAACACTTAATGAACGCACACGGCGAGAAAGAAGCATTTAAGAATTTCTGTAAGCATGTAGAAAGCAAAGCGGCAAATAACTACAATGAGCTAAACACTGCAGTGGCATGCTAAATCATTATCGAATCAACTATTGTGATTATAATAAATTATATTAACATCCTGAAACAAAAAATCAAATTAATGACGTAATTGGAATACACTTTGAATGTCGTTTGGATCGACATTGGCACTCCCAATCTTCAAACTAGCGCGATATGCATGCGATGATCTACCAAAGCGAACTCACACTAAGCTTCAGCTGATCCTTGAGCCACGTCAGATAAAATTGCAGATCGGTTTTCTCCATGAGATCGTGACTCCAGCAAGCTAACTTAGCTATGATACGCGACGTCATGTTCATTATGAAGCCATCCTGCCTGTTCAAAAGATTGAGGAATGGTCCCCAGACAGATTCCCGTTTTCGCGTGGAGTGCTCACGGAAGATTTCCACACGACTACGGTCCTCCTATAAATAATAACGTCATTTTCCATTATATAATATGTAAGCAGAAGTTTTTTAGTATAAAAATTATTAAATATCACTCATAAGACTTTGTTTACAAGGTTTTCCTGACTTCCAGTAGCACTACAAAAATACAGATGAAAAATTCAGTCGTTTTACAATGTAAAAAGAATGCAACTATACCTGCAACATATCATCGATCATTGTAAGAAGATACTGAATGGTCTGGTCCTTTGAGACATGTCCAAGCAGGTTGAGGAAGGTTTTGGCTGCCTGATGTGGATTCTCCTTAAGCTTGTTTTCCCTTGCCTTAGCATCACTTGTATCAAAAGCTGCTATGAAATCGTAGTCTTCTTTTGATATCATTTGTGATCTGTAAATACCAGATATCCTCAAATACTATTCTCTGCCCAGATAATCCCAAATAAAGGATATGTTTTATCTTGCAGTGTTACTAATACTAAAAGCAACAATCAATCAAGCTTACAGATTCAGTTCCTGAGATGGCAATCAATATCTATCCTGATATTTGTCCTGTTATCTATTCTATCTTTGATGTTTTGAAATTTACAGACTAAAGGTCTGAAGACCGAAATATAAATACTTACTGCAAATACGACTGCCAATTAATTCGCTGGTTTCTAATGTCAGCAGCCTGCTGCTGGAGCATGCTCGTAGCTGCCAGCATATCTGCAAAATCGCACAAATGAATGCGTGCGGATCAAGCGATTCGACAGGTGCTAAAACAATCTGTTAACATGTGCGATAATGACGAAATAACTGTTAAATAAACAATAAAGAACAGAGCGCACTGCTGGGAGGGGCACTGTCAAATGCACGAATAATTCTTATAAGGAAAGCGTAATCACCAATTTTCTCTTCCGGCAGAGCCGGTATCATCTGCTTGATATTCGCACGGTCCACCATGATTCTTGTCGAAATCCCGTGTCAATTTATATGGAAAAAATCCTCTTCGGAGACGCAGACTACGGTTCCCTTTCGTGCCCGTCGCCTCCTTCAGCTGTTCGATCACAAGACCAATCGGTTACCAACCTAACCCGTGACACCGTCAGGGTGTTATCATTCCGAATGAAATACCTAGATTTTTTTAATTAGCGATTTTCACGTACAATACTGCATGTTCACAGTCTAATAGTTATTTGTACGTAATGACTGTTAATGATTCTTTCTCTTTCTTTATTCAAGGACAGGACAAGGAACGATGAACAATCATTAAGTACGAATAACTATATATGACTAGGTGTCATTCGTGCATTATAGGACTACTTATTAATTTCATTTATTGATTTCTTTAATAATAAATAATAAAAAAGCACATTAATTACAAATAGTATATTTATTTTCAACTAATAAACAAAACCTCACTATATATATAAATAAAAAATTATGTATCAATCTCAAATGCACTTTTTAGGACTTTATAGATTTCAATTTTTTTTTTGAAAATTTTTGTTTGATTTAATATTATATGGAAGACATAGTAAGTGAGATAATAATGCAAACAAAGAAATACGATAGTCGTAATACAAAGAAAATTTATAGAATCAATACGCACTACAAAATTGTATTATCACTTTTTAATTAGAACACAGATATATTCTTTTCATGTATTTTTTTCTTAACAATTTTAGAAGAAGAACGTTCCGGAGTTCGATGTAACGGCATCGTAGATGAAGGTGTTGTGAATAGGTTTATACTGATTTGTGATAAATTTGATAGTTTCCTGCGCCACGAGACCACCCAAAAATGCCGAGACAGAATGCAATTCAGCGCCACCGAATCGACAAAACTCGTGCACATAATCGTCTTTGGCTAACGGTCCGCATCCCCATTCGTTCAACAATTTCGTGAGGCATGTCTGCAATGTAATTCAATTTTAGAATGATTGTAAAACGGTAATAACACGTTACATGTGTAAAACGGTGATACCTTGAGTTTCACGATATCAGGCTCCACTTGGTCATCGAATTCACCGGGATACGAGTTGTATTCTGCTTGAAATTTGTCTACTCCACGGAGTATAACGTAATAAATCATCATACTCTCAGGATTCTCTAAATTTTGAACTAAAAATAAAAAGTTGAAATCGTTAAAAACAAGATATATATTTGATCACACAATGTGTAACAGATATATATTAGAATTTATAATTAATTAATAATATATTAATAACTACTATATAAGCTATAAATTATAAATTATAATTATAAATAGCGTAATTTCTTATTTGTGAATAATTCATGTATACTATAATTTTAATATTTTATAATTATACGAGCTGCATCATTGGACGGAAATAATTACCTATGGTATTAGTATCAAAAATTTTGGGATCGTACTCGTCCGCAATGCAGCTTCCTCTCTCCACGTGAATATCGGTTGCGTGTCTGCAGAACATCTTGACGTCCTTTTCCAGAATCGAGTCCGAGGGCCTTCCTAATTGACGTAGCAACTGCAAAGTGCGCCTCCATACAGCTTCCGCATCCGCCGATGCTTGCTTGTGATAACTGGGAAAGATCGACATCAGCGATGCGTAATCATACAACATGGAATTGTTATTTCGAATCTAATATCATACATTTGTTGGAGCATGACATATTTCTCGGTGTCAGCAGTCATGTCGGGCAGAGCACCTTTGAGCGGCAAGAACCCGCCGCCTTCGTTATCAACAAAATCACGCACCGCCTTTGCGATAATCCAGAAGGAGCTGCTCTAAAATATATCAAGTTAAAATATATCAGTTTATACGATCACACACGTTTCCAAAACGGCGTATAAACTGTAGAGACGTTCCATCGGTACCTTTGCTGTTAGATTAATGCAACAGTCGTCGTTCAATATGTTTATAACGTTATCGGGAATACTGATCGGCCTGATGCTCGTATTCACAGCCTTTAAAGCTTCCTCGAAATTCTCTTCGCTATTGGACAAGTCATGCTCGTCACGCCTCATGCCACCCTGTATCATTCGCTTCAGCTGTTGCTTGTCACTATAAGTCTTCGGTAACGCACCATAATTATGGATCCACTCCTCCAGGAATTTGTACAAAATGATTAGATACGGTACGTGGCAGTGATCTTTGAAGCTCATGTCGTCGAGATTTATGGAATCCAGGTGCTTTTTTAGGCTATCAAACGGTTTGTCAAGACGCAAGTCCAACGTTTCGTTATCCGGATGGGTTTCTACAACTGTGTGCTCCTTCACTTGAACCCGCATATAAGCGATGAATCCTATACTCCTGCATACTATCAGCGGAATATTCAGGTCCCAAAGTCTTCTCGATAGCAGAATCAACGTTCTAAACATAATAAATGTGATGTACAAAATATATATAGTTGGAATATAAATCAGTCTTGTGGATGCTGCATGTAAATTGATACTTGTGATTTTATAACTTATGATTTTGATATTAGAATTCTTACTTCTCAGTCAGTGAGGTGGCAACAACCACTGTAAAAGTATTGAAAAAATCTGGGCTGTTGGATAAGATTTGTTCAGGTTCTTCGTCGATATAATCACCGGTTACATCAAGATTCATTTCCAAAAGCATCTGAGTAGCCACCTGTGCTCTTGATTTCCCAATACTATCTGCTTCTAGAAAGAAACTAAGTCAAATGCATTTAACATGCTGCACTGAAATGTATCTTGAGACTATAATACTATAGTTAGAACAATATCATATATATACTTCACTCCTATGTCCTCATCAGTAATCTTTTTACCATCGACTATGGTAAAGGCTCCAATACCTGGAAGTACTAGCGATTTCAATATCTCTGTACCAAGTCCGGTGGCATTTATAACGCAGATATGAGCAGTCTCTAAGCATGCTTGTCCATGATCACACCATAATCTGTCAGTGAGAAATACAAGATTATGTTTCATAATAATCAAAAATATATTGAGAGAGCATGAGAGAATGAAGTAAGAATATAATCAAAGCAAACATAATTAAATAAAATAACCGTAAAAAATAGATATCCTGACAGATCTAAAATACAAAATCGTCTATCTAAACAAGTGACAACAAGAAATGTCAAATATAACCTCAAAATATTATAATCGGCGATTAACGTACCTCAGTTGTCTATCGTATTTTCGAGTCTTTTCAGATAGTTCGGGCGATTTTGGAGCTGGCGAAGCCATCAAAGAGACAAATTTCGAACAATTGTCTGTAATGGCAGAAAATATTTCCAAATCACACGAACACAGTAACGGTATCCACTACGAATTTATACGTACTGTGTTTGTATGAGAATAAAATCTC